GGACGCCCCGGGCCCGCCCGCCGCCCGCCGCCCGCGGCCTCCCGAAGGAAGCAGGCGCGGGCGAGCCTTGCTGAACGGGCCGCAGGCGCCGCTTGCGGGAGCGGCCGACCGCGTGGCCCTTTGCTCTGGCTCGGCTCCCCCGCCCCGGAGAGCGCTGCTTGTCCGGACGAGCCGGTTGCCGCGGGCAGGGGCCGGAGCGCTGCAAGAAGGCCTCGCTGCCTTCCTAGAGGGTGGAGAGGAAACGTCGGAAGGCGGCCTGCCCTCCGCGCAGCAGAAGCCACAGGCCAAAATCCTCGGGTGGGCAGAGCAGAGCTCGCTCCGAGCGACGTTGACGGAAGAGGCCTTTGCTGCCCGCCTGCCCGCCCGCGGAGCAGAGGTGTTTCCAGTTCTTGCAGAAGCGGCTGGGGTAACATTTCTAGACGATGCAAATCCACTCGGCCCGGACCAGTGTTGATGCTGCGACCCAGCCGGAGGCAGTGCTGCCCCATAGGAGGCCGCAGGGCAGGTCCCCTGCCAAAACATATTTTCATTTCCTTTCTCGGGTTGTCTGTCTTTCCGGAGCTGGCATGGCAGGAACCAGCAGCGCAGGACCTGTCGGTATGGGAACGTTCTGCAGTGCTACACACCCCTGGATGCCTTCACCTGGGTAAGCGGGCAGGTAACGACCGCGTGGTGGAGCATGGAGCCATTTCTGTGGCAGAAGCACAGGAGGGTGCTTGATAAAGATGAGAAAAGATGCCACTGAGGCTGCTTTCTAAAGCCCCCCCCCCCCCTCTTTTGCCAGAGCGCATTGGCTTGCCTTGCTCTGGAGCTCGCCAAGCGCGTCCGGTGGCTGAGCTCTCCACCCTCCCATGAAGGAGATGCCGGGATTCATCAGCTCAAGCAGCGCCTTGCCGTTCTGCCCCAGCATCAGCGCTCAGGTAGGCTTGCTAGGGGCTGGAATTTTCTGTGCTGGAAATGACGTCATGCCCGGCCCATGTACGCCCCCAGCAGCGAAACTTAATCTGACAGGTTGAAATCCAAGCAGTACCTTGGCGCTTCTTCTAAGATGTTTTAAGCGGCTTTCTCATGTTCAGAACCTCCTGCTGATCCACTGCCTTGCTCCAGCGAAGAAAAGGAACAACACTTCTTCCTGGGGGTGGGCCAGGACCACACAGAAAAGAACCCATCTTCTAACAAAATATCTCAGCCGAAAGAATATGAGCTCCATTCAGAAACAGGTATAATTATTTACGCCTGGTAAACAAAGACTTTCAGCCCTTTAGCAGGCTATTCTGAGGCAGGATCTGGCCTATCGGAGCATTTCCGGTGATGTTTGAACCAGTTAATTTAATTTTGGGGCTTTCTGGCCACTAGCCATCAAGTGGCCACAGCAAGGGATTGGGAAGGCAAGTTTGAACTACTGTATCACCCCTATTTTTAAAAACCAAAAGGATTTGGGGTTGAAAGAGTGGGGCTATTATAAATGTCTTTATCAAAGGCAACAAGGAGGAAGGGAGCTATAGGACAGAAGAACGACAAGGAAATGATCAACAAATGGTTATTAACCAAAAGAGATACATTTAAGCAGGAAAATGGGAGCTTGCCCTATCTTCTGGCTATCAGTAATACAACTAGGTATTAAAAGGCATTTGGAGCTCTGGTAGTCTTAGCAACAGGCATTTGACCTGTTAAATAATCGATATTGCCAGGGCACGGGAGTGGCTGTAGCTGTGCAATATTTTTGTTAAAAGGCTTCCACGAATGCACTGTAAAGATGGCTTACACTGAGTCAAAACATTGGCCTGTTTTTCTAATGCCCACCTACCCGAATATTTTTGTGGAGGTCTTTCCAACCCTGCTGTTGGATTGACGTAAAGCATTAAGAGAGATTGCAGGTTTAATTGGAATATTTCCATCGCCACAGAAGTCTGAGCGTGCTAACCTAACACAGGGCACTGATCACGAGCGGCTTGCTGTGATGCAGCACAGACTCCACTCTGATCTGGCACACCCCCCGTGGAAGCCGGCACGGCGTGTGTGGCAGCCAGGCCCAGAGGCGCTCCTGCTTCCAGCTTGTCCCGGTGGGCGCAATTTCTTGCCGCCTGTTCCATTTTTATAATCCGCAACAGCTGCTTACGTAACTCAGGCCTAGCAGCTTGACTGAAATCTCGGTAATGGATGGAGTGACTGAAGCTGAACGTGGACACAAAAGAGTAAAGTTGCCGTCCGTGCATTTGGTGAAGAAACTCCGGCAAAGGAAGCGGGAGCCGTGCTCCGACCCGGCCACTTTTCGTTGCAGGGGACTTTGTCTTCCCACCTAGCCCGGACCCTGAACCAGACCCGTGCCCGCTGCGCTCGCAGGTACAGTCCCTTGCCCTTCTGGCGGAAGCCAGGCTCTGGTGGGGACATGCTGAAAGGTTCCAGGCTGGGTGCCCACAAGCCCAGCAGAAGTCCCTGCGCTTGGAAAGGGACACCCAGTTTGCTGGCCGGGCTGTCATGAAAAGCTAGTGCAGCTTCCAGTTCCTCGGGGAAAGGAACAACTCGCTCCAGCCCCTGCGGCAGAAAGGCTGTTCCTTTCTTTGTTGCATGCGTATTCCACCTTTCCTCCAAGGAATGCAAGATGGCATGGACTAGCTTCCTTCCTTTCCCATTAGCGGTCGGTGAGGTGAGTCAGGCAGAGATTGGGTGACCGTGGGCTTCAACCACTGAGTTCAGGCCCTTCAGGCGTGTCTCTGCTCCCAGCACCAGTGAAGAGTCTCCTTCTCTTCTGCTGGCGCGACCGCCACTCCTGAGGAGGGTGGACGCGGCTTGGTCTGGGGCCCTGCTCTGACCATGGTGCCTCGGGGGACCCTGAGGGAGCCCGGCCTCCTGGCAGCATCCCTGTTGACTTCCCGGATGCTTCTGAACCTGCTCACCGCATGAAGGCGTGCATCCTGGCCGGGAGGGCGCATAAAGTTACCGTTCCTGAGAAGGTTCTGCTCACAGTGGACATGCCCTGATATTTTTAGCAGGCGTTCCCCAATAGGGAGTGCAGTAGGCCAACCTGACCACCATGGTTTGCTGCCACTATCGCCAGAGAAAGGGCTTGGCCCTACCTGCTCACAAAGCAGCGTCGTTTAGCAGCCTGTGTCTAGCCTCGAGCGCTGGCGAGTGTGCTTAGAACTAGCATGGATCCCATAACACTCTTCATCGCAAAGGGGCTTGGTTCGTTCTTTCCCGAGACGGAATAATGCAGTGAGTGCGATTTCCTGGGAGGAAAGGATCAAATTCTGTGTTCAGGGACAAGACGGAATATTGCTTAGGAAAGGTTCCCAAAATAGCGTCACTGTAACATGAAAGCTGGGAGATTGCCTGCAAATACTTGGTATCAGGACTTGCCCACAGCGCTGATCTTTGTCTCTGCTGCACAGGCCAACCGAGAAGATGAGGACTCTGTTAACAGGGCTGCTTCGCAAGTGCAGCAGGTGTTCCAAGCCAGCATGTCCGTGGCATCCAATATCCTGGGTAATCGCTCCTCGGGTTCGCCCTCTCTCCATCGAGCGAGCAGGGACTTGAATGTGTCTTCAGTGTCACATTCAGCTGAATCAGTATCAGAACTGCCAGGCCGTCCAAGGGCGGTGGCCTTTCCCGCGACATCCCCCATCGGCCCTGCAAGCACCGGACACAGAGCTGGTGCTGAGAGGCCCTGCGTGAAAGGGAAGGTGCGGGGCAGGAATGGCTGGAGTGTCCTGCAGGAGTCTGAGCGGCCTGCAGCTGCAGGTCCTCCTGCGGGCATTTCCCCTGCGCTAGCCAGAGAGGGCAGCCGCAGCTTTCGAGAAAGGGAGGAGTGTGCCCGTTTTGCTGAGCACTTTGCTGCCGCCTTCCCCACAGGGCTGGCGCATATGCAGGAGGGGCAGCACCCCACCGCCTTTTCCTGCTTCAAGCTGGCTGCAGACCAGAACTACAGCAAGTCGCAGTTCAACGTGGGCTTGTGCTACGAACATGGACGAGGCACCAAGAAGGACGTCGCCAAGGTCCTCTGGCCCTTTCCCGTTACGCGGTCCGCGCGGCGTCGGGCTCGGGGGCTTCCTGCGGGCACCAGGCACAGGCCTGCTGGCCCGGATCGGCCAGAGCGGGTCCCTCCCTTTCTCGGGGCAGGCCTAGCATTTCTGCCTTGAATGGAACCGGGGCCGGCCCGCCTGGCGCTTCGCACCTGAATGGAGTGGGAGTGAGGGAGGGGCATTGCATCGCACAGCTCACTCCCCCCAGTCACGCTCTTCGCTCCTAGGCAGTCCTCTACTATCGGCGGGCGGCTCTGCAGGGGCATTCCAGGGCCCAGCGCCGCTATGCCAAGTGGCTTCTGCACCAGCAGCCCAGGACAGGCCCGGGTGGCGGCGCGCAGGAAGCGGTAGGGTCGCTGCACCAGGCCCACGGCGCAGAACAGATCCAGGCGAGCGTCGGCCAGGTAACGCTGCCCTGCTGCTGCTTGGGCCGGGCAGGCTCAGCCTCGCAGGACGGCACCAGTTCTAAGTGATCCAGACGGGTTCCTTGCAGCCTGGTCTTGGCTGCAGTGCAGCTGGTTGGCGAGAGGCCGTCAACCAGCCGGGGCATCTTAGTGCTGTGGTTGGGCCAGCCGGCTGGAGGCCCCTAGTTCCCAGGACTTGCTCTCGCCTGGCACCCACCCCCGTCCACCAAAGCTGGTGCAGCCCCATGGCCGTGAGGACAAAGAGCCCTGCTGGGGGGGCTTTTCGGACGACTGGGTAGTGCACGGGCTCCCTGCGTCCTGCAGTTCCTCTTTGGGCGCTGCATGTCGGCAGAGAACCCACTGACTCAGAACTGGGGAGGAAGGGAGGCAGGACTCCCAGCGTCAGCGCTGGCTCCGAGGGAGGAGTGACCGCTCTCGCCTCTGTGAAGCCAGGTGGCCGTCCTCGGGCTTCTGCGTTCGGGGTTCTCTGTTGCTTCTCCCAGAAGGCCATATGCCCCGAAAAGCAGATTGGACAGGAATACTTACCTGTGGCAAGCAGAAGTGGGGCGAGGCGTTTTCATGCCCCTGGTCACATGGTCCACATCAGTTTATGTGGCTTGTTTCTGTTAATGCCCCACTAACACTGAGTAGGAACATGCTTTATTTAAGAAGTGTTTTTGGCTGATTCACTGCCAAGATCTGGATATTTCTGGCATTTTTACCTGCTGCTCAGGCAGAAAGGCTTCCATAGTGACTTGACTGCAGTCAAGGAAGACAAATCAGTTGCTTACTGCAGGCTTGCGGTCAGAAAAGGTGGCCACAGAAGAGGGGGAGAGCTGTCTCTGGGCAGGGCAGGGCTGATGCGGAGGAGTGGATGGAGCTCGGAAACGTTGCTAAGCGGCTCCTTTCCATGCCAGCGTGTGGCGGCAGCCCATGGGGCAGTTCCTGCAGGTTCAGCAGCCATTACCGTGCTCCTGAGCTGGACAGGTGCACAGCCAAGGTGTGCGCGCAGAAGCCCTTGCGCTGCTCAGTGGCTTAGAATGTGCCGTCCTGAGGTCTGCGTCGCACGCCTGGGATATCATTGCCCTGATGTTACCCTTCACCCATATATTTGGATGCAGGGCTGTTCCAGCAGATTTCGTTTGGCTGTCGGCCACGGAAAGGGCTTTGGTGCTCCCCAGAGCTCATGTGCCGCTAGAAAGCAGGACCAGCAAGCGGCTGCTGCAAACGGCCAGCCTGCCCGGGCCAGCACCGAAGCGACAGTCCTGGAGGAGAGCGCAGGTACTGGGCTGGGGCATCTGTACCGGAGAAGAGAGGGGGTGGGGGCCTGGAAGGAGACGTCCTACGGAGTAAGCCATCCCGGCTGCGAAGGATCGTCCTCCTGCCCTGCAAGAGCAGCCAAAGGGCGCTTTTCTGCCTGCCTGCCAGAGGGCTCCTCTGCGGTGGCACCGCCGAGGGCCTTGCGCCTCCGCAGGGGGTGCTGGAAAGCCCTCGAGTTTGGCTCTGGCCTCCCGGCAGGCTCGCCGCCATTGCCGCAGCATCGTGCTCTTCCTGCCGCCGGCGTCACGCGGGGCTTGCGCCGTGTGGTGAAGCGCGCCCCCTTCGCAAGGCACCTGCCCCAAAACGTGGCCCAGAAATCCTCAAACTCCCTCCATCAGTGGAAGGCTCAGCTTGTAGGCACGCTGGGGCAGGGAGCAACGGCGGCGGCTTTCCCCCACTGCCGTCCCTGCGCGTCGCCGGGACGGCAGCTGTGAGCCTCCTCTCTCTCGTTCCCAGCCGCGCGCCACTGCCACCAGCTGCCCCTGGTGGGGCGAACGTCCTCGTCCAGTCCGTGCCTCCAGCAGCTGGATCGGCCCCTGCCTTCCCGCGTCTCCCTTGGCCTGCTGCATTCGTGGAGTGCCGGAAGCCTCAGGGAGGCGGCCAGCGGCTCCAGGAGCTGCATGATCCTTCCTGCTTTCTCAGACGGCCTCGCCCTCCAGCTGTAGCCCTCCGCCTGGTTCCCCAGAACAGCAATTACTTACGCTGACTAAAGAGGAGCCCTAGGAGATATGCCCACAATCCTGGCTGCCACAGCCACCGCTGAAGAAGCCGAGAGAGGCAGCGGTTGCAGGCCGGCATGTATTTCTACCTCTTCTGCAGGTGGCATTTCTGTAAATAAATCGCAGCTAGAGAGCGGTGTGGGTGAGTGATGGAGCCAAATAAGAGACAAAACGGGTGGCCTGTCTGCATTTCATTAGTTTTTCGGCACTCACTTGCCACTTGCAACCTGGCAGAAAGCAGAAGCGTTCACTCGGCTCAGTTCCCAAAAGTCCTCATCCACAGTCAACAAAATCAGGTCTGGTCCTTATTCCCCCAGGATCATGAGGGCTGGGGGATCAGAGGGGATCTGTCCAGGCAGCATTTGACCAAGAAAGGACAGGCTGCATCCATTCATAGGAATGCCTGTGGCTTATCGAACCTCCTTAATAAGCAGGATTTAGCGTCTGATTCACTGTACGCCCATCCTAATCTTCAGTCAGTGGCAGGCCAGGGCTACTGGATTTGTAAAGGATCATTTAAAATGGGGGCAGCCGTTTCCCAGTCATGGTCACAAAGGATTCTAATTGCAGGCTTCATATACCTAGTGTGGCCTTAGCATTTCTTCCCCAAGAGGAAGGGATTTCATTGTGCTAGAACAGAAATGGGAAATGGAATGAAGGAGGTGGCTGTGTTCTTGAAAGAGCAAAAAATTACTTCCTGAGAGCTGAAATCTTCATCAAACCCCTTGGCTTCCTTTTATTTTTAACGATAAAGAGGCAGCATTTTCAGCATGAAATCCAAGATGACACTGGAGTGTCCCCTTGAGACAAGCTTCATCTCCACCTTCCCTTTATCAGGAAGAACAAAATCTCAAGATAAGACCAACCATTGTCTGAGGGCTTCTCATTGTTTACAAGACCTGTCCGGCCGGAAGAAATCCTGCTTTACCCAACTTCCTGCCAGGGCCATTTCCTAGGGAAACGCCACTCACGGGAGAGGGGAGGCCGGAAACCAGCTGACAATGGGGAGACTCAGATGGGCTTGTGCTCGAAGGGGGGAAAGGCGTTCGTTTGCCTCCCGACGCAGAGGCAGCACGGAATGGCGTTCGCACTTACAGACAGGTTAGCAAAGGGCAGCCCTGCCACCCACCCACCTTCGAACACACGCTGTTCACCATTGCCTCCCTTTCACAAATATTCTGGGGACAGTACTGTCCCTCCAGCAGCTGCCCACACTGGGGCTTCCACAGTGGCACGAGATGGCGGCAAGAGGTCAGCACACCACAGCGCTGCAACATAACTCTGCGCACTTTTGGCACGGCTCCTGTGCCCTGACGGGGTAACCGTTTCACTGCAGATGTGACTTCCTCCCTTGGCTTAATTAGGGTGACTTACTTTCTGGCTATGGAACACAAAGCACATTTACAGGGCTGTCTGGAGCACACAGGCGATTTCCACTTCCTGGCTGCCACTTCACCCTGGAGCTCAGGGGCATTTACATTCATTAGCATGTTCTCTGCTGAGACTTAAACTCTCTTGTTAACCCTTTCTTCACCCTTCTAGTCAATCATTTCCGCGGCAGTTGTTGATAAAGCGCCAGATTGGGGGGGAGGGTGCTTTAAAGAGAGAGCAACGAAACGCATCCCTACCACATGGAGCTTAAAATGTTGACATGGGAGGCAATAATGGGAAAGCGACGACTACGAAGTGATTAATGCGAGCGCAAATATAGTCAGAGACCTCCTTGTATCAAGAGGACCAAGAGGTTAAAGTTCTCCTTAGCCGTGGCTTAGTGGAGGGTCAGCACTAGCCAGCAGCCCCCTCTGCTCAGGAGGGAGCCCTGATAAAAGTTCCGCTCATTATGGACTGGGCAGCAGGGGGAGCCCTAGCCTCACTTAAGGCGGGAGGAAAATGGTTTTATGGTCGTGCACAGGAGCCGGCAGAACTGGCTCTTCCTTGATCGATTTGCAACACTGCAGGCTTTGAGATCAGGCAAGGTGTGTTGAAGGCGGGAACAGGATGCGATACGCCATATGCCTCCATACCTTGCATCGCCCAGCAGAGCACAATTCCGTCAAAATCCTCCTCTTCCAGATCTCACAAGATCAGTAAACTTGCCCTCTGCCACTTTCCCCACAACGTCTCGCTTGGCGAAGAGACACTGGGGTCCAGTTTCCATAATCTGTCGGTCTGCTATGGAAAGGGCAGTTGCTGGAAACGGTCGTGAGGAAGGGGCTCTGTGGGGATGGGGGAGACGCTGAGAACATGAATCCGCAAGCAAAGCCCGGTAAGCACTGGCCAAGCCTCAGCGGCTGCTCCAGTTTGTTCAAGTCCAGTGCATGCGTAATACAACCGCAACTCAAACAACCGACAACTGGCAAGATCCCAAAAGAAACCAACCAGATCCTCAACACCCGAAGCGATGCTCAAGATGGAGGAGAAGGGTGTGTCTCTAATACAGAGTTGGGGTCTTTCAAAATCTTGCTTCCCAAGGAATCCTGGAAAATAATCTTTCTGGATGGTAGAACTAAGGATCATTTATGGAGTATTGTACTTAATTACAAATACCACAATTTCGGGGGCACAACATGGGCTGTCTTGACTGGAGTAAAAACTACGTCAGTTGGTTATGGAGATATATACCATGTTAAAGCAAGTTATAACATGCTTCTTTTAAGGGGTATATTCACTGAATATTAATTCTTTAAAACAATTTTGCAAGCAAAAATGTATAGAGGAAGCTGAAGGGAAATACAATAATATGAGGCTGTAATGACAGCTATAAAAAACATTTACCAAAAAGCATAGGCAAAAAGGCAGAAACTTGACGGGAAGCATTCAAGGAAATACGGACTTAAATATACTAAGGAAGACTGTACATAATTATATAAATAATACAATAACAACCTGAATCAGAAATCGTATTTGTCCTGTAAGGCAGCATTTTAAAATCCAGAATAAGAAAACATCATGATAAATGGTTCCCTCATCAGACAGTGGCACGGTAATAATCTGGTAAGAATGGATTGCCTTATTCTACATCCATTTTTCTAATTTTTCTCAAGCTCTCCATGTGAGGGGGCTGCATCACATCATCTCCTGATGGCAAATTCCGACATTTTGATTAAACATGCCGCTTCAGCACGTTCAAGTGATTCCTTCTGGTCAGAATTAAAGATTTAGAATTCACATGCATCTCTCCTATTAAACTGATCCTGACTCCAGTGTAGAACACGCGTCCCTGTCACCGAAGGCACACTTTCAGTGCAACCATTCATTCTTTTTAACAGAGCAAATCTCTAAATGGCCAAAATATAATTTGCATCTCAAACATATTGAACCTTGCTAGATTGTACCTGTATATCTCATATATAGGGAGTATTTTTAGAGCTTTAATCCTGCAGCATCCCTACCGCAGGTGCTGCTTGAAAGGGAATTCATTTAAAGCAAAAAATACACAGTCACTGGCCTGGCGGGGCTCTCCAAGAAACGAGTGTCCACAGCTAAACGTCAACAGGTTCATCCATGCAGGATGCATGACACTTTCCCAGTGGGTGGCCTTCATCTGCCTGCTAAAATTCTAGCCATTCTGTCATATAAATGCAATTGGAAGGAGAGATTTCACCACCTTCGTGGCAGTCATCAAAAACCTGGGAAAAGAATCGGGTGTAAAGAGTTAGCACAGCCCAGTGGTTGTAATAAGCTAGTGGATGCGCTACTCATTGGAAGTCGGATTCCCGAGGCTGACACCCCCCGCCCAGCAACAGGGGCTGCATATAATCCATCAAAAATAGCGGCAATCCTTCACTTTGGAGGGTGCGGCTCAGGAAGCGCTTGGCCCGGGAACACTGCGTGATGGTGAAAGCGCTGGTGTGGCGCTTGCCGTGGGTTTCTGCGCGAGCTCCTTCCGGCAGGACTAGCGCAGGAAGTCCTTGTTGCACGGGATCTCCTACACAGAGACCTGGTGCCAGAGCCCCTACCTGGAAAAAAGCCAGCACTCCACAGAGTCTATTCCTGGGTCCAGGGGACACTACAGGCTACTTGCAGGGTGCTGGTTTTAACCTGCCTGGGGAGTGTGGCCACATGCTTCACTTCCGAGGCATCAGCCATCCCACCCAGCTGAGTGTCAACGGCAAATCTGAGAAGCCCCTAGAGGAGGGGAAACAGGACAGCGCTCTTCTGGTTCTGGCAAGGGTGTCACAAAGAAGAGGGCCAGAGTCTCTGCTCCGGAGTCCCAGAGTGCAGGGCTCCCAGTTGCAGGAAGCCAGATTCCAGATGGGCATGGGGGAAAATTCCTGGGTATTAAAACAGCATGACAGCGGAACCAATTAAGTATGGAGGTGGTGGACTCTCCTGCCCTGGCGGCATTCAAGAGGCAGCTGGACAGCCATCCGAGGGGGGGGGGGTTTAACCTGGAGCCCTGGGCTGTGTAAGGGTTGGACCCGGTGGCCCTCCAGCCCCTTCCAGCAATACTCTGCTGTGTTCTACTCCTGAGGAGCAACTTACTGGACAAAGCCCACACGGCGTCCGAACCAAACCCGTCGGCTGAATGATTGGATTGACGGATCTGTACAGCTTCAAATGCCCATCCACACTGCCAGCTGTCGCTTCTTTGGCAACAATGATGGTCATTTCCACCTTCCCATCGTATATTAATGTGTTTAAAATGGTTTCAATGTCCTCCATTGACAATTCTACCTAAAAAGTGATTTGTAAACGGTTACATACAATCGAAGAAAATTGCCCTAGAAAGCAGAATGTTGTTAACATTGTGAAGAATACGGCATGAGTGCACTTGTGGTTGGAGCCGCTGAGAATTCACAATCAGAGAGCTCCAAAAAGCTGCTCAAGCAGAAACTTTGGGCGGCATATAAAAACCCACCTACGAATCGCTCAAGCATTTTGCCATAAAAAGCCAAAACAGCTGTGTAACTACATTCCAACTATAGAGAAAAATAAAATATACAAGAAAGGGGTTGGGGGACTGATAGACAGACGAACCAGTTCAAAAATTAGCATGCGCAGTCCAGTCAAAGTGAAGCGCACGCTTAAATCTCCTGCAGCAAAAAGTGCCGATTCAGCCGCATCGCCGGTGCCTCCAGTCCCGCATCCCCTCCCAACACAGGTGCTTGCAGGCATCCTGTGGAAGACCCTCCGAGCAAACGTCCCTCCTGTGCTTCTCCCACCCTGCAAAAGAGGCACATGCCTGATTCTGGCTGCCCAGGTCTTACGTGCGGGGTGAGGCCAAGGGGCAACCCGCATCCTGGGGGAGCCTCACTCCTTCCCGCCACCAGAATGCCCAGCAAACTCTGGTTCTGGGAAGCTGCTGGGGGCTCCCACAGAGGTTGCGAGTGTCCACAGAGTGGCTTCTGGGAGGCCGTGGTTAACTAAAGGAGGGTGTGAGGAGAACTGTGGGGCGAGAAGCCGGGAAGGGGAGGCAGGTGAGGAGGGAGAAGGCGTGAGGGGCTAGGAGAGCAGAAGCAGCCACAAGAGGGGTAAATGGGGGAGCAAGAGCAAAGCTGGGGGGTTGGAAAGGAACAGAACAAGAAAGCTGGTGTGGGGAAGAGGAACAGTGGAGAAAGCGGGTGGGTAGCCAGCAGCTGCAAGGCTAGAGGCCGGGAGCAAGTGAACAAGAACAAGGGAAAAGCCTATGTGGAGGGAAGAGGGTCCGAAGAGGCAGGAAGCCCACCTTCCCCCGCCTGCCCGGGCTGGTTCAAGAACAGGAAGAACCTGGGCACCCAAACAGTCTTCAGGAGTTTCAAAATCTAAAACATGTTTTTGAAGGGGGCAGGAAGAGAGACTCCTGTGCGGCAGGGGCTCAGGGTGGACACAGCTGGCCTGTTCCCCCACCACCCCCTTTTGCAGCACAGGGTGCCAGCGGGGGATGGTGGCCGACGTCTGATCCGAGGGGGGGAACCGACCCCACCGCGCCCAGAGTTACCTCCCGCAAGGCTTACTGTAGCCTGGAAAACCCAGTGCATCATCATGAGGAACAGAACACGTGCAAAACGCCCCGGTGGCCAGTGGGCGGAAAACGCAAGGCAAGCAGCGCGGCCGCGGCCTCACCTTGCTGATGCCCAGCTCACTGATGTACTTCCAGACCTCGTGGGAGGAGGCGAAGGAGCTGTTCCTCTGGATCATGGGGCTCTGCTTGCTGTCCCGCGCGGCCTCCGCCTGCAGGACGAGAGAGGGGAAGCAGGCGGGCTGGCAGGCGGGCCACCCCCGCGAAGGGGGCTGGCCGCAGGTGAGGATGCTTTTGCGGGCACCCCAGCTTCCAGAAAATAATTCATCCTGAACGCCTCAGCAGAAAACAAGGGCTCTTCGTCTCTTTTCGCTGTCGGGTTGCATTTGTGTTGTGAGAAGCGCTCAGTCTGGAACTGCACATCAGCTTATTGGCTGAACGAGAACCTTTGGAAATACGCCTGCATTGGCGTTGGCCCTGCACACCTGCATCCACAGCCATCCTCCCCTCCTGGCCTCTCCTCTCCCCTCCTGGCCTCTCCTCTCCTCTCCTGGCCTCTCCTCTCCTCTCCTGGCCTCTCCTCTCCTCTCCTGGCCTCTCCTCTCCTCTCCTGGCCTCGCCTCCCCTCCTGGCCTCTCCTTCTCCTCTCCTCTCCTGGCCTCTCCTCCAAAGAGGCTGTGGGTGGAAGTGAAGATGAAACCTCACTTTGCTGGAAGATCAGTAGAGCAGGCCAGGAAGGCAGGACAGCTCCAAGCCCAAATTAAAACCCCGCAGGCTTATGTGAATTCCAATACGGTTTGCCTTATTACAGAATTAGTTATTGCAAATTTGGAAGATGGGGCAACCACACATAAATCTGCAGTGTCCACAATTGTGGCTCATGTTTCACCTTCAAAAGACTCCTCATGAAGCCTTTGGTTTGAATGAGATGGCCCCAGAAGTGCGGCTGATGGAATGCATGGATTTGGCTTGGCAATTTGCATTGGGTGACTTGGAAATCATGACAGTGTTTTCATCTTGTAACAGAATATGCTCTTGCATTCTTGATCCAACATGGGAGACTGCTTTATTAGCCTCCAGTTGTTAATCCTAATACCTAGTGTCATAATTGTTATTTTGTTGGGAGCTGAAATTTGCATTTTCTCACTCCCTGGGAGATTTTTGTCTCAGGTTTATTTTCAGTTTTCCAGTTTCTGGAGGCTCTTTCCTTTCTCGTAAGGGTGGAGGTCGCTGTACGGACAGCCCAAAGCGTATTAACCCTATGACTACAGAAGAGGCATCCCATAGAGAAGATTTGTATGCACATGGGGGCAGCAAGGTATTTGCTACTGTTTCATGTTCAAAGCAACTTCTTGGAATGACAAAGAGCTTGTGCAGCAAGGATTCCTTCTTTAAATGCTTCGGATTACAGCTTTGACACTTTGCAAAAAAAAAGAGCACACGAAAGAGGAATTCAGACCGCTGGCTTACCTTTGTTTGCAGGAACTTGAAACATTGCTGGTTTAGCACCTCTACAAATTCAGATTCGAAATCTTGGTCACTATACCACGCCCCGCCTGTCACAGAACGATCAGGCTGCAGATTGTATAACATGTACACTTTCTTCTTGGAAGCCTGTCGAATGAATGTTACAGCTCTTGTTCAGATGCTCGCCTTCGTTAAGAGGAAGGAACACTGGACGAGTCTCCATGTGCAGCCCCCCTGGGAACGTGCTACACGGCGTGGGTTCATTTTGGAACCATGTGCGACGCGCCCAGAAGACAAGAAGAACAGGGCGGCCATGAAATCCGTGCGTATTTCCCACCCAGGCTCACATTTATCAGACGGCTTTTTAAAAGGCATGTTTTCGTTTGATAGCTGTCCAAAGAAGCATTTTATTCATTTCAATACCAGGCCAAAACCTTTCTCTTCACCCAGTATTTTAATGGTTGATTCTTACTGTACAATAGAGAATTGTTCTTACTGTATGTTTTTATATATTGAAAATAAAGTTATCTAATGTGCTGTTATGGTTCTGGGTTTTTGTAAGTTGCCTGGAGATAGTTTCACACATGGATGGGATAAAAATGTTTTAAATAAATAAAAACTTGCTGCTGTTGCATGTGATCTGCATTACTCTGTAAAACATCTTAACTTGCCTGCTCAGCTACTTTTCAAAGACACTCAGCACCTATAATAAGAAGTCAGAGCTATCTGGTGCTGCTTTTACCTGACTACCATAACAAATATTACATTGTTCAACTTGTTCCAAATTATGAGTTACTCACTGCTACAGACTTCACGGCTTTAATGAGTTTCTTGCTTTCCAAGTTCTTCAAGATCTTGTTGATTTCCGTTAAGGGCAGATTGCTTTTATACCTAATATCTCTGCTCCAAATGCCTGTTTTAAAAAGATGGAAAATTTGTGCAGGAAAATGATGCTACAGTCATTTGTCAGCCCTGACGGGGGACGTAATCTTAAAGAAAAGGATAACTGGGTGGTCTTCAAAGCAAGACATGAGAAATAAGTTGTGCAACACTTGGGAGATGGCTATTTTTTTACCTTTCATTAAAAAAACAAAAACATTCCGGGAAAGTTTTTTCCCCAATGTTATTTCCATAAGTAAAATAAAATGTAAGGTACCTTTGGAACTGGCAATACATTCAAAAATTCAAGAGCTACATAAAGCACTTCACAAAGACTACAGTGACTTGTTTTTTTGGGGGGGCGGACTAGTACAAGCACATAGTACCTTTGTTTCCTGCATCCTCGATAATCTGATAGACCAGTTTCTCTTGGTTGTCAGATCCTTTCATCTTTCTGCAAGAGGCAAAATAAAAGCTGAATGGCATTTTGTGTCTGCTGCTCCAAACAGATTTGATCAATGTGGAGTGAGTTTCAGGCTTATTTGACAGAGAGGGACTGGTATTACTAGAAGCTACTTGGGTAACTTGCCCATCTTCAGTATGATGGTGATTACAGAGAAACTGATAGACGTCATTGTAGGAGATGAGAAGGTGAAAAAGTACAGCATAGCATACCCAGCATTTTGTGATTCCTTAATTCTATAGAGGAGGCCGGTGCTGCTCCTCAGAAGATCCAGTTGTCCCTAAAAGAGCATGTATCATGTCAGAGTTTTGCCACATTCCTATAACAAGGGTTTCTCACTCAGAAGCAACATGGAACAACCCTCAGTTATAAAATTAATTAGGGTTCCTTATTTATTTATTTATATTTTTGACATTTGTATGCTGCCATCTACTCCAAGTGGAGTCTCTGGGAGGCTTACAACATTTAAAATTACATGATCATTAAAACAATAAAACGAATTAAAACAATCAATCCATAAAACAATTTACAGTCATAAAAACAACAAGAAATAGATCAATACAGTAAAATCATTAAATCAACGGGGGCGGGGGGCAACCATAAGATGATAGATTATTGCAGACATTAAAATTAGTTGTTAAAATGTATTGCTAAAATTCCTGGAAAAGAGAAATGTTTTTGCCTGGCTCCAGAAAGAGAGCAATGTTGGAGCCAGACAATTTTCTCTGAAGAGTTCAAGATCCCCTTTGAATCCTATTAGATTTACGCCTTTTATTTCTCCTCTCAAAGCTGCTGCATAGTTCACCCTTTTAAGGTATATGTAATCAGAAATTGCAATGTATGAATATGTCTGAAGACAGGTGCAGCAAACGGGTAGGTTCATCCAAAAGCCCCAGAGTTCTAGTTCTCCAGTGTAATTTGGTGGCAGATTTGGACTTGTTGCCATGTCATACATTACACGGTTCCAGCTGCTACCAGAGCTTGCTTCTGCCGAATACAAGGTCTCAGACAGAGTGGAATGGACCCGACAAGGCAGGCGCAAGCTAAGCGAGAAGGGCTGCTCTCCTGGTGGGAAGTATACGTCTATTATGTATTTATATTCCATTTAAAGCTATGAACGCAGACGCCGCCCGCTACGGAGCGAGCCCTGGGAGCCACGCTCCGCTTGCCTTCGCGCGGCGGCGGCTCCCGGGCAAGGCGGGCGCGCTTACCATGGACAGCAGCCGGTTGATGGCCACGGCGCGCTGCTGCGCCTCCATGTGGGGCATGTCGTTCTGGATCACCTGGTCGGTGATGCCGTGCGGGAACTGGTGGCACAGCTCGAGGATCCTGCGGAAGCACAGAGGCGCGCCCCGCGTGAGCGCGACGGGGCCCGCGGGCGCCTCCCGCCCCGCAGCGCCCCGCGCCAGGGCGCCCCTCGGACGCGCGCGCGGCCCGGGCGCCGCTCTCCCCGCG